AAAAAGAATGCTCATCATCACTGGCCGATCAGAGAAATGCAATCCAAAACCACAATGAGGATACCAATCTCACAGCCGTCTGCATGGCATCATAAAAAGTCGGAACAACAGGTGGCTCGGAGAGGATGTGTGAGGACAATCAGGAACACTTTTTACCTGTTGGTGGGACTGTAAAATAGTTCAACCATTGTGGAAAACACAGTGTCGGCGATTGCTCAACAGGATTTAGAACTAGGAATACCATTTGACGGCGGTCTCCATTTACTGGGGATACATTTCTTCTAGATTTTCTAGTTTATTTGCGTAGAGGTGTTTATAGTATTCTCTGATGGTAGTTTGTATTTCTATGGGGTCGGTGGTGATATCCCCTTTATCATTTTTTATCGTGTCTGTTTGGTTCTTCTCTCTTTTCGTCTTTATTAGTCTTGCTAGTGGTCTATCAATTTTCTTGATCTTTTCAAAAAACCAGCTCCTGGATTCATTGATTTTTTTGAAGGTTTTTTTGTGTCTCTGTCTCCTTCAGTTCTGCTCTGATCTTAGTATTTCTTGCCTTCTGCTAGCTTTTGAATATTAACTGGGTAATTTCTAAAGAAATTTACTTAGCTTATGGTTCGGGAGGCTGAGAAGTCTAAGAACATGGTGCCTGGCATTTGGTTGGGGCCTTCTTGCTGTGTCATAATATGGCAGAGGGCATCACATGGTGAGAAGGAATGCAAGAACAAACCCACTCCCATGATAGTGACATTAATCCATGTATGAGGGCAGAGCCTTTATTAATTAATTAATCTGCTCATGAAGGCAGAGGGATTGAGTTTCCAACATGTGATTTTTTCAAGGGATACACTCAAACCATAGCAACCCCTATGTTTTCTTCTAATAGTTTTATAGTTGTAGCATTACATAGGTGTGTGATCTATTTTGAACTATTTTTATTTTATTTTATTTTATTTTATTTTATTTTTGTTTTTGAGACGGAGTCTTGCTCTGTCACCCAGGTTGCTCACTGCAACCTCCGCCTCCCGGGTTCAAGCAATACTCCTGTCTCAGCCTCCCAAGTAGCTGGGACTACAGGCGCACACCACCATGCCTGGCTAATTTTTGTATTTTTAGTAGAGATGGGGTTTTGCCATGTTGGTCAGGCTGGTCTCCAACTGCTGACCTCAAGTGATCCACCTGCCTCGACCTCCCAAAGTGCTGGGATTATAGGCGTGAGCCACCACACCCGGCCTTGAACTAATTTTTGTATGTGATATGAGGTAGGGATCAACCTTCATTCTTTTGCATGTGGCTATCCAGTGTCTTAGCACCATTTGTTGAAAAGACAGTTTTCTACCCACTGAATTGTCTTGGTAGCTGTATTAGTCTGCTTAGGCTGTCATAGCAGAATCCCACAGACTGGGTGGCTTAAACAACATAAATTTATTTTCTCCCACTTCTGGAGACTGAAAGTCCAAGATCAAGGTGCTGGCCTGGTTGGTCTCTGGTGAGGGCCGCCTTCCTGACTTCCAAATTCCAAATGGATGCCTTCTCTCTGAGCCCTTACATGGCCTTTCCTCTATGTACACACACTCCTGGTGTCTCTTCCTCTTTTTATAAGGACGCTAGTCCTGTGGGATTAGGGCCCCGCCCTGATGACCCCATTTAACCTTAGTTACCTCCTTAAAGGCCCTATCTCTAAATCCAGTCACATTGTGGGTTAGGGCTTCAACATATTAATTTTGGGGGAACACAATTCGATGTAACAGTAAGCTTGTCAAAAATCAATTGAGCATAAATATAAGGGTTTATGTTTGCACTTTTAATTCTGTTCCATTCATTTGTATGTCTGTTCTTATGCCAGTGTCACACTATCTTGATTACTATAGGATTGTAGTAAGTTTTGAAATTAGTTTATCTTTTACCTATACTAATTCTTAGCAAAATCCCCCTGGAAATGTCAATACCGTGACCATGCCGATGCCATAGGCACACTTAAATAGCTCTTACTTGGCTGGGCGTGGTGACTCATGCTTGTAATCCCAGCACTTTGGGAGGCTGAGGTGGACAAATTGCTTGAGCCCAGGAGTTCAAGACCAGCCTATGCAATATAATGAGACCCCATCTTTATAAAAAATGCAAAAATTAGCCAGGCATGGTGGTGTGTCCTTGTGGTCCTGGCTACTTGGGAGGCTGAGGTAGGGGGATCACCTGAGCCTCGGGAGGTTGTAGTGAGCTGTGATCGCACCACTGCACTCCAGCCTGGGCAACAGTGAGACCCTGTCTAAAAAAAACAACCAGAAAGCTCTTGCTGTAGTATTTGACTGCTTTTTATCACCTACAAGGAACCTTCATGTGAACTGTGTTCTTTGCTCTTCACTGTAACCTTATGAAGAGTATAAGGCACAGTGCAGTGGAGGATGCCGAGGCTTACAAAGGCCGAGTCATTTCCCGAGAGATACAGAGCCTTGTGGTTCTCACTGATGATCTTTTCACTAAGAAATGGCAAGTTGTACTGGTCATACTGGTGAGTCTTCTTAAACAGAAGTCCCGATAAGACTTGTTTTGTAAATGATGATATTTTGAAACGGTGTTTCTCAAACTTTAGTGTGTTCAAGAATCATCTGGAGAACTGGTTGAAAACAGATTCCTGAACCACAACCCTAGAGGTTCTCATTCAGTATGTCTGGAGTAGGGCTGGAGAATTTCTAACAAGCTCCCAGTTGATGTTCCTGCTGCTGGTTTGTGGTGCACACTTTGAACCCCACTATCTTACTGGACATAGTGTTAAGAATTTGCATATATAGTTAATTCAGACTTGTCAACTCTTTCACCCTCAGAATGTGCTTAGAATACTGAGAAAGCAATTTTCTTGAAATAGTATACTTTTAAAAGTTGCTTCCTTACATGACTTTAAAGATTGTAATCCATTCACTCAATCATTTTTTTAAACTTTGATTGAATGCTTACCAGATGTATACCACATCCAGAGAATACAAAAATGAGTAAGAATTGTCCTTAAGAAAATTTTCTGTATCAGAATTATAGGCTGGGCGCGGTGGCTCACACCTGTAATCCCAGCACTTTGGGAGGCTGAGGAAGGCGTATCACTTGAGGTCAGGAGTTTCAGACAAGCCTGGCCAATGTGGCAAAACCCTGTCTCTACTAAAAATACAAAAATTAGCCAGTCATGGTGGCAGGCGCCTATAATCCCGGCTACTCCGGAGGCTAAGGCAGGAGAATCACTCAGACCTGGGAGGCAGAGGTTGCAGTGAGCTGAGATCGCACCACTGCACTCCAGCCTGGGTGACACAGTGAGACTCCGTCTCCAAAAAAAAATAAAAGAAAAACAAATTTGGAATTAATTACAGCAATGAAGAGAGGGTATATATATGAAACACTTTGCTATGATTTGAATGTGTCCCTCAAGGTTCATATGTTGGAAACTTAAGCCTCAATACAGCAGTGTAGAGAGGCAGGGCCTTTAAGAGGTAAATTAGGTCACAAGGGCAGATCTCATGAATGGATTAATGCCATTCTCTCTGGAATGGGTTCATTATTGTGGGAGTGGTTCCTTACTAAAGGATGACTTGGGTCCCCTTCCCTCTCTTGCCCATGTGATGCCTTCCATCTTGTTATGACACAGCAAGAAGGCCTTCATCAGATGCCAGCCCCTTGATCTTGGTCTCAGCTTCCATAATCATAAGCCACTTTCTGTAAGCTCATTATAGTTCCCCAGTCTGTCATATTCTGTTACAGCACCACAAAACGGACCCGGACACCTGGTACCTTGGTTTTACCATTTCTTTTCTGCTGTCGCGTTTTCCTTTTGTTGTTTTTGAAGCTGGCTTTACTTCTCATATGAATTTACAAACAGTATAACTTCAGGTAGTCCAGAAATCAGCTTTTTTTTTTTTTTTAACTACTCCAAGCATCTCTGACCAATGTGAATAGCAGGATCTCAGCTATATGACATTGTCCAAGGCCCTGTAGAATGGGCCCTGTGGAGTTACTTGAAGAAGATAGATATACATGGGTATCAGGCAGGCACTGATATTAAATTATATAAATAGGGGAATATAAAGACCAGATGTATGCATTATATATCAAAGCATTCTGATGAGAGGTGGTCTAGCGAGGAGATCTAAAATGGGAATTACATTTTGTCTGGCTAAGGACTAGAGGATAAAGAGATAGGACAAACACTGGCCCTGTGAAGTACATGGAGAACATGTGATCCCTGGTTGTTTTTATGTCATATTCCTTATCCCTGGCAGATGGCAGACTTCATTCTTAACACTGTGCTTCATACCTCTCTCTTTACCTTCCAGTGACTGTCATGTGACATGGGTCTCTGCCCAAGCTCGTAATGAGACAATAGCAAGGCGGCTGTGGGACGTCAGCTGTGACCTGCTGGGCCTCCCAATGGACTAACAGGCAGTGGCAGTTGGACCCAAGAGAAGACTGCGGCAGACTACACAGTACTTCTTGTCAAAATGATTCTCCTTCAAGGTTTCCAAAACCTTTAGCACAAAGAGAGCAAAACCTTCCAGCCTTGCCTGCTTGGTGTCCAGTTAAAACTCAATGTACTGCCAGATTCATCTAAATGTCTATCATGTCCAGATTTACTTTGCTTCTGTTACTGCCAGAGTTACTAGAGATATCATAATAGGATAAGAAGACCCTCATATGACCTGCATAGCTCATATTTTCCTTCTGAAAGAAACTACTACCTAGGAGAATCTAAACTATAGCAGGGATGATTTATACGAATTTGAACTAGCTTTTCTATTCACAATTCAGTTTCTCCCAACCAACCAGTCTTCACTTCAAAAGGGCCACACTGCAACCTCAGCTAAACTCCATGAGCTCAGGAGTAGGGCTTGACCAGGCATGGTGGATCACCGGAGGTCAGTAGTTCAAGACCAGCCTGGCCAACATGGTGAAACCCCACCTCTGCTAAAAATACAAAATTAGCTGGGCATGGTGGCACACACCTGTAATCCCAGCTACTCAGGAGGCTGAGGCAGGAGAATCGCTCAAACCCGAAGGGTGTAAAGTAAGCTGAGATTGCATCACTGCACTGCAGCCTGGGCAGCAGAGCAAGACTTTGTCTCAGGAAAAAAAAAAAAAAAAAAAAGAGCAGGGCTTGACCCTCACCTCTAACTGTCATGCACCAGCTTCTGGATTCTTTCAGGAGATTCTTAACTGAAGCTGGATTATGGCATGGTCTTATCTCTGACAACCTAAAGCCACTGCTGTTAAGATGCTTTCTCACGTCTAAACCACAGAACAGCTTCCTTTTCTAAGAAGTTTGTGAGGTTTGGGGAATGGCAGAAATGTAGAGGAAGGCAGAAATTATAATCAAGTTCAAACTGTCATTTTCCTGTTTCTTGAACCAGGAAGTAGATAAGGAAAGGAGCACTCTGAAAAGTCAGGCCACTGGACTCCAGTTAGTGACCCCAGGCCCATGGAAGACTCCTTTTTTGTACCTTAGTTTCTCTTAGAAAATGAGAAGAAAGGCTTTTTGGTCATCGTCATTGTGTGTATCTTTGTGTGTCTTGTTTATGTATGCTAAGGGAGTATTTTCACAAAGTTCAAAACAGCCACAATAATCAGAGATGGAGCAAACCAATGCCATCCAGTCTTTATGCAAATGAAACACTGCAAAGGGAAGCAGATTCTGTATATGTAACTACCCACCAAGAGCACATGGGTAGCAGGGAAGAAGTAAAAATAAAGAAGGAGAATACTGGAAGATAATGCATGAAATGAAGGGACTAGTTAAGGATTAAGAAAATAGCAAAAGACATTAAATATACTAACATAGCTATGGAAGAATTGAGGGTGAGCATCCAAGACTGATGAGGTCTTAACAAAAACCAGTGTAGCAAAAAAAAAAAAAAAAAAATCCTAAAAACGAAAAGAAAAAACCCAATTCTTTTATTCAGAAAAATTATCTTAGGGACTGATATTGGTAATTATGGTCAATTTAATAATCTTTTGGGGCATTTCCTTACATTGTCTTGACAAGACTAAAATGTCTATGTGCCAAAATTCTGTATTTTATTTGGAGACTTTTTTTTTTTTTTTTTTGAGACAGAGTCTTGCTCTGTCGCCCAGGCTGGAGTGCAGTGGCCGGATCTCAGCTCACTGCAAGCTCTGCCTCCCGGGTTTAGGCCATTCTCCTGCCTCAGCCTCCCGAGTAGCTGGGACTACAGGGGCCCGCCACTTTGCCTGACTAGTTTTTTGTATTTTTTAGTAGAGACGGGGTTTCACCACGTTAGCCAGGATGGTCTCGATCTCCTGACCTCGTGATCCGTCCATCTCGGCCTCCCAAAGTGCTGGGATTACAGGCTTGAGCCACCGTGCCTGGCTGGAGACTCTTTATCAAAAGTAATGCCAGAGGAAGTCTGAGGAATTAGTAGTGTTCCCATCACTTGTTTAGAGTGTGCTGTTCTAAAAGATTTTGATTTCCTGGAATGACAATTATATTTTAACTTTGGTGGGGGAAAGAATTATAGGACCACAGTCTTCACTTCTGATATTTGTAAATTAATATTTTATTGAACTTGTTTTGACCATTAAGCTATATGTTTAGAAATGGTCATTTTATGGAAAAATTAGAAAAATTCTGATAATAGTGGAGAATAAATTAATTAATGTTTTACTTAATTTATATTGAACTGTCAATGACAAATAAAAATTTTTTGATTATTTTTTGTTTTCATTTACCAGGATAAAAACTAAGAATTAAAAGTTTAATTACAGTCAAAAGAAGAAAACACTGTTCATTATTATGGTTATGCAATGATTTCTCATTCTAAAGAATAATTTGTCCCAGAGTCTAGCTACAGTGCAATCTCAATCCACATGCTATTAATTTAGGTTGTGTGATAATCTGATTATTCATTCACCATTTCCTACTTAACATTTTTTGACACTCTTCACAGATACTTTTCCCACATTTCTTGATCATCCCGGGCCATTTTTTTTTCTTTTTTCTTTTCTTTTTTATTAGAGACAGGGTCTTGCTTTGTTGCCCAGGCTGGCCTCAAACTCTGAGCTCAAACAGTCGTCCCGCCTCGGCCTCCCAAAGTGCTGGGGTACAGGTGTGAGCCATGGCGCCCAGCCCCAGGCTATTAATCTTTTTTTTGCACCTGCCCCTTATTTCTGTACTGTGACAAGTCCCAGCATTGTGTTGTGGGACTTACACAGAATACTGACAGTTACCTCAGACTTGGTCATGTCTGTGCTCAGTGCATATTAAGAGCTCAACCAAAGTGTGCTGAATCAACAGCCAATGAACTTGATAATAAAAATGAGGGCCCAGGAGATATAAATTAGCAAAGCATTTTCTCCTAAGCATTCACACATCTTTTAATATTTGTAGGCAGTTTAAAATTGAGCTCCCAAGCAAACATTTGAGAACAGACACCTTGAGCAAACCGTGAAATCGGTGAAAATAAGAATTTATTTTAATTTTTTTGAGATAGGATCTTGCTTTGTCACCCAGGCTGGAGTGCAGTGGCATGATCTCAGCTCACTGCAACCACTACCTCCCGGGTTCAGGTGATTCTCCTGCCTTAACCTCCCGAGTAGCTGGGATTACAGGCGCCCACCACCACGCTCGGCTAATTTTTGTGATTTTAGCAGAGATGGGGGTTTCACCGTGTTGGCTAGGCTGGTCTCGAACTCCTGACTTCAAGTAATCCGCCCGCGTCGGCCTCCCAAAGTGCTGGGATGATGCTTGAGCCACCATGCCCGACCTGAAGACCGGCATTTATACCCATGGAGTGCAGGAAAGGACCTTGTAATTGTTAACAAGTGACACTTAGTGGCAGATGAGACCTAATGAAGCCAGGCCCACCTTCCACACCAGATTATAAATTCCCCCGGAGCAGAGAGTAAATGTTTTATTCACCAACATGCCCAGATCCCTCGCAATGCCTACGCTTGACAAACACCTGTTGTGAACAAGTGCACGAGGCAGCCTAGCAGCTAGAGTATTTCGAGGTCATCCTAACTCGGTTCCACTTTTGAATTTTTGTTTTTTGGGTTTGTTTGGAGACAAGGTCACCCTCCACTTGGGAGCAAAGTCTCCCAAGCTGGAGTGCAGTGGTGGGAACTCTGCAATCTCAACCTTGTGGACTCAAGTAATCCTCCTGCTTCAGCCTCCGGGGTAGCTGGGGCCAAAAGTGCGCGCCACCTTGCCCGGCTCCTATTTTGGATTTCCGGTAGTGCTCTCGCTATTGTGACCAGGCTGGTCTCGAACTACTGGGTTCAAGCAATCCTCCCACCTCGGCCTCCCAAAGTACTGGGATTACAAGCGCGAGCCACTCGCCCGGCCGGGTTCCACTTCTGAAAGCTTGGGGAGCCGCTGGGCCTTCCAGGAAAAGTGCTCCACCTCCCGACTGCAGGCAGAGCCCCCGGCCCGGCTATCTTTCCAGGGCCTAAAGCTAACATTCGGTCAAGACGCGAAATGAGGAATTCGGGTCAGGGCGGCAAAGCAAAGCGCGATGACAGTGAGGACGACGTCTAGACGCAAACACACATCAAATCGGGCCGAAGCCCGCTGTCGCCTCGAGGGCTAAACCTGGCACCCCGGGCAACGCGCGACTTCGGCACCAGACGCTCTCCGAGTCAAACTACATCCCCCGGCGTGCACTGCAGCGCCCGCCCCTGGCCGGCCGGCGGGGCCCGGGAGGAAGGCGGCCGAGCTGCCCGTCCCGCAGGTCCCCTAGGGCCCTTTCTCTGCGGCCTTTCCCCACCCCGGCCCGGGCACTTCTCGGGCTCTGCGACTACCATTCACCCCGCTCGCTCCCTCAGGAGTGGCCTAGGCTGCGCAGTCTCCCGCCTTCCCGTCAGGCCCTCGCGCCGGCGCTCCCGCAATCACGGGCTAGAGAGGGTGGGCGTTCCGGCTCGGGAGGGCCCTTCTGCGGCCCCGGAAGAGCCTCGTCCTGGGCAGCGGTGGTGCGGCGGTCGCCGTTATGGCCACGGGACTGGGCGGCTGACCGCCGGGCTAGGAGAGGGCCCAGAGCCCCGAATCTGGGTGGCCGCTGCTCGAGCGCGTCCTGCGCCATGGCCGCCTCCGCCGCCTCCTCGGAGCATTTCGAGAAGCTGCACGAGATCTTCCGCGGCCTCCATGAAGACCTACAAGGGGTGCCCGAGCGGCTGCTGGGGACTGCTGGGACCGGTGAGGCGCGGCCCCGCGCGCTTTGGAATTTTCCCCCACCTTCCTCCCAGACCCGGGCCCGCGTCTCCTTCCTCCGCGTCCTCAGACACGCCCCCTAGGGCTGGCTGGGTCGCAGCCCTGGGTCTCCCTGCCACTGAGAGTGAATTGGGGACGCGCCCAGGGACGCGGGGTTCAGTTCCCTGGGATCCTTCTATGGCCTTCCACATTTTCTCGTTTTTTTCCACTGCGGCAAACAGAGCAGAGGGGCTTTTACATCTGCGGTCCTGTAATGTAGCGTGGGTTTCTTTCGTAGCTGTTTTTGTTTGTTTTATGCATTTAGAAGCACTAGTCTCAAGACAGGTCTAGTTTTCACCAGACTGACAGAGGATCTGTAGCACAGAAAAAGGGTTAAAAACCCAAAGGAGTTATAATTTGGGGTGTTGGCATATACCTGTTATTGGAGGGTAGAGAGCTGGCCTTTAAAACCTTATTGTGGCGTTTAGATGTGGTCTTGTTTTGAACGTTTTTACTGCTGAGACTATTTACTACCCCTTAATTTCATGGTTCAGGTTGCTACAAGTTTTGTCTGGAGGAGCTAGAGTTTTCCGGCCCTAGATCCATAGGAAGACCTGCTATATATAGTTCTTGGCCTCCGGATATATAGAACTTGATGGCAAGGACAAAACTTTGTTTTATTGCTTTTATTTAAGGGTCAGAGCTTGAGTGTTTGCTCAACGAATTACTCAAGGTCATAGGAATTGAATGACTCTGGTGAGAATGAAATGCATGTATTTAATATATATTTATTGTGAGGCTGCTGTGTGCCAGGCACTGTTGTAGGTGCTGGTGGATATTGCAAATTACAGTGAAAAAGACACGCACGTCCCCATTCTAGTGGGTAGGTGATAAACAATATATAACTATTAAGCAGCAGTGTTAAAGAATACAGGACAATAAATCAGAGTAAAGGAATAGGGGATGGGACTTCAGTTTTATTTTATTATTATTATTATTTTTGAGACAGAGTCTTACTCTGTCATCCAGTCTGGAGTGCAGTGGTACGATCTCGGCTCACTGCAACCTCCACTTCCCAGATTGAAGCAATTCTCCTGCCTCAGCCTCTGGAGTAACTGGGATTACAGTTGCGCCACCACCCCTGGCTAATTTTTTTTGTATTTTTGGTAGAGACGGGGTTTCACCATGTTGGCCAGGTTGGTCTCTAACTCCTGACCTCAAGCGATCCGCTTTCCTTGGGACTTCAGTTTTAAATAGGGCGGTTGTGAAAGTCCTCTCTGAGGAGATGGCATTTGAACTGAGACTTGAATGAAGAGAGGGAGTAAACCAGAAATCTGGGAGAAGTGAGTGTCAGAAGGAGGGAATAGCACTGCAAATGCCCTTAAGCGGAAATGAGCTTGGTGTGTTCAACGAAGAGCAGGAAGTTCCATGTGTTTGGGATGAAGTGAGCAAAGGAGAGAGGTAGGCAGGGCCAGATCACATAGGGCCTTGTGGACCATGGTGAAAGACTTGTGCCTTTTTCTAAATATGATGGGATGCAGTTAAAATATATTGTGCAGAAGCATTGTGGGATCTGATTTATGTGATTGAAAAGTTGACTGCAGGCAGGGCACGGTGACTCACACCTGTAATTCCAGTGCTTGGGGAAGCAGAGGCGGGCAGATCACTTGAGGTCAGGAGTTCAAGACCAGCCTGGCCAACATAGTGAAACCCTATCTCTACTAAAAATAC